ATTCATAACAAGACCTTTAGGGGTATTCAGTTCCACTGATTTCTTTCTTTTCTAAGCACTTGAAATATATTAACTATTTTTCATAACATCCAAATAAATGAGTAATAAGGCCCCCTGCTTAAAAGTCCCTAGTCCCTCCACTCAGTACTGTGTATGCAAGCTATATAATTACAGTTTAATGAAAAAAGCATAACCAAGCCTAGGAGATTAAAGCTTCCTCATTATTTTTGGCCCCTTAGTGTTACATTCCTCAGCACTGATTGGCAAAAACTCAAGCTGGAGGTAATACATGCTTCACACGCAAGCACCTGCTGATAGGGCACTGTCTTAGGAGACAAGAGAGGCTGGTCCGATGTCCTTTGGGCAGTGGAAAGCCTAGTATCGAATCTACTATTGCCTCTTCAGCTGCTATTGAATAATGCAGTGTCCTTTCATGGGAGTTTGCAACAAAGGTATGTATCCCAAAGGAGGGGGAGATAGCCTTGACCTCTGCCAAGACTTAGTTCTAAAAAAATTCGTAGGCAGCAGATGTAAATTTTTGCCTGATGACTGACCTAAATTTCACCAGGGAGAGAGACAGACTGAACAGCAATAAATGGCCTTCTGCAACTTGCTGTCCGAGCTATCAGGAGTAGGTTTCTGATAAAGACTATTGCGAGTGCCGGAGTTCTCTTGCATTTCTGAGGCTAGGTAGTGCTGTTAGAAGACTAAACTCTCTAGCTCCATACATTCACCCATCTTTGTCATTTGGGTTACGTGCGACTTAGTGTGAGTAGCAGCATTCTGCATGCATGGCCATAAGTGAGTACACAAAGGACAAAGTTCTAAAGAATTAGGGCAGCAGGTTTTATATCTAATTATGCCTCTAATCCTACAAATGACTTAGGGTTTGCATTATTATATGTTCGTTGTGTTGTAAATGGAACTACTCATATGAGTGACGTTATGGATGTAATTGCATGGAGGATTAGATCTGGACAATCACCTTTTAGCTTATTCATACTGTGGCACTGTTACAAATCAGATATCTCTGATGTTACCCTTTTTCAGTTAGGGTGAGGGGGTATCTGAAACTGAATATTTTTCTGTGTAATTCCTTGCACTCCATTTCCTTGCCTATCCAAACGAAGCACTTGTACAAAGGCACGTCGTAGAGAGTATTCTGTTAACAAGAGTTGTAACGCATAGATTTTCAACGCAGAAGGTCATGAGGCTGCAGTTTCACTAGGTTATGTGCTGCATTTGCACAGACAGATATTCAGACAGTTAATGGTAGTGCAGAATGCTTTAATGATTTTTATTTGCATCGGGCTGTTCTCACCTCTTCGAAACATTGTGGATAAATAAAAGAGGCCTTTTGTTTGCTCTTCATGAATGTTAACAGTGATTAAGTGGTGCTGAAGGAACAGACTCATGCTGTCATTAAAAAGAAAAGGCAACAAAAACCAAAACCCAACAACAAAACTGCCCATCAAAGCTGACTTCAAAGTGACCTACTTCATTTTGATTTAAAATGGTAATTGAATAATTTATTTTACTGTTATGCACATTTTGTAACTCAAAACTGGTCACACCTAACTGAAAATACAGAAATAGTTATTACATCAGACACCAAATAGTCATAATTTGTTAGGGTACTCTTTATAGTGTGGAATTACAAACAAAGCTATGTACACTGAGATCAGTTTTTCTTACAAATGGATTCAGCAGTCACATTTACTATTAAAAATTACATCCAGAATGTAGTTGTGGGCGAATCAGTACTTCTTGTACTATGGTATGGTGTTTCATAAGAAAGTCTATGCCAGGGCATGCTAGAGAAAAATGTTGTCATCATTCCTTATCCTCCAAGATGTATTCTTAAGTATGGAGTCTCCCTGTGGAAGATTTCTCCAAACCTTCCTGGAACAGGGCGTATTCTCGTAAAGGTGTAGAGATTTCCATACTCTGTCTTGGCCCCCTGCAGCTCAGCATCAGCTTCTTGGGCTTCTCTGTCCCATGCATCAGCCCCAAGCCCCCTTTCTGAAAAGAGCTCGAAGTTAGTATAGTTTCTGGCTATATTTTTGGCATTTTCTGAAGGACTTAATGTGCAGTTCAGTCTCTTTCAGTGTAATCTTGAAAAATACCTGAGTGCTTCTTTGGGAATAAAACTCTGCTCTTAAATATCTTTGTGTCAGACTGATCATGCTTAAATTTTTGTTCCTGATTTATAGGCACACATCATGATTTCATTGCCCTGATTTAAGCATTAGCACTTTGGTGCCAGTATTTTTTGCTTATAATTTTCCAAATTTGTTAGAGTTTCAGCAGCTTTACATGTCACACTGAGAAGCACAGACAAGACACTCTGTATCTCAAATACCCAAAATTCCAGTAGTGTCCATTTAGGGTCCAAAGCTACAACGTTCCTAATAACATCTAGGATGAGCAGGCTTTCAAGTACTTGGGTCTTTTGTTTTCAGTTAATAACTTCCAGTCCTTTTGGTTTCTAACCCCCTGACTTTGAGATAGTGATCTTGAGTACTTCTTGTGGCATTCAACTTCTGTCTCTAAGGCTGTGTAATTTAAATCAAGATACAGACCTTGACTTAATGTATTTGGAATACCCTCCATTTTCACAGAATTAATAGGATATTTGGGGAACACAGAATATGCAAATTCAGACCTGCTGAATACATAATTTTTATGGCACTTCTGCTTTATATTGGCTTTGTAATTTGTCCAGTCTTTAACTGAGGGCTAATTAAATTACTGAATTTACAATGAGAATATTGGTCCATCCTTCCCTTCACTGATTTTAATTATTTACTCCTCCAGTTAATTTTCTTTAAATCTGTCTTTGTGTTCTCAGTGTGGCATAAAAGGACTGGTCAATGGCCTGAATACAGGGGCAGTTGAGGGAAAATTCTGTCTGCTATCAGTCTTTCCGCTGCAGGAGGAGTGCTGGGCATCCTTATATGTACTATAGAGATGGCTGAATTCAGTAATCACTGCCTGACCAGTATAACAGTTCATCAGCAATTTATGGCAGGTTGGGAGAGCAAGGGTTTAGGATTACATCTAAGAAGAGATCTGTGCATACCAGGATACGACTCTTATCTTGGGTTAGGAATAAAAGGCCTGTTTGGAGCCATGTGTAATTTGAATGCATAGTAAAATGCAAAGTGTCTTCCCACATGGAAATAAGATCCATTACTGACAATGTGTTTCAGTGTGTGTAGGTAGAAATCTGTTGTCGATGTAGGTTTTTTACATTTTGTGTGTTTTCAACTTCACAACAGGCTTGAACATCCTAATCTTAGCTTTTAGTCATGCACTTATGTGCAATACATGGAAACAAAACTCACTAAGTATATATGACTAAGGCAATATTCCAGAAACAAATCCTAGAAGTGAAGGTGAAGCATTTTAGCTGATTCTGACAGAATTACTGCAACTCCTTGCTGTAGTGGGAAAACTGTGTTCAAACCCAAAAATGCTCTTATGGTTTTAATTGGGTGGCAGAAAATGACTTCTGTGTGGTCATCCCTAAGAGATTCTTTAAAACCAACATTTTTCAAGTTTCCGTGTTTATTTCTTTTTTGGCCAGTAGTTGCCTCCATGAATTGGATTTATAAATCATGACTCTCAGGCGGATAAAATGTTTTCTGGGGAATTTGATCCAGATGTATATTACATTTTCAATAAATATCTTTTAAGTATTTAGGCTGAATAGGGTTTTTTGTTCGTGTTTTGAGGTTGGGGGCGGGGATTATTGGGGCGGGGGGGGGGGGAAGGTTGTTATCCTGGTCAAATCAGAAACAGACAGATTCTTGCTATGTAGAAGTCCAAGAAAGTCCATAGTGTTTCAGCAGGGATTCACGTGGCCCTTGGGTTGTGGACTGTATCGTATTGCAAGCTCCTAAAATAAGACTGCTCAGAAATCTACAGGCTTCCCATCTTTTTGTCTGGAAAAGTTATAAAATGGAATAGGCAGGCTTTTCACTGAGCTGCTGAGAATGCAGTTCTGGCTATGCAATCAGGACTAAATAAGGAGCAAGATCTGCACTAAAAATAGAAATGGAGGCTGATCCAACTGTGGCGTGAGTTGTAATTCTCACGCAGCAAAGGACTGGTAGGTTCAACTGAGGACACTCAGTTGCAGAGAATCAAACTTTATCCTGGTCCTAAAAAGTCACCATACCATAGCTTTTCAAACCAGATTTTTACCAGTCAGCAGAACTATTAATCATTCCTGAAAATTATTTAACTTGTTATTTCAGATTCAGATTCTTTTTGTTGTTGTTGTTGTTGTTGTTAGAGAGAGGATTATATTTGCCACATAGTAAGAGGGAAATGTGGGTTGGGTTTATGTAACTCTGTTTGAAGAACATCGGGAGAATGACGTAGGGGATTTACTGCACTTCCCTCACAGATGGTTAAATACGTTCTTACCACTCTTTGGGGGTTAGGCTAACGTGCCTGTTGACAGTACGTGACTCCAAGTGGGCACACTGAGGTGATATGGGTATCTGGCTAGGCATAGTACCTTGTCGCAAGCTGCACTGTTCAGAGTGTGTACATCAAGGGAAATGACTCTGCTTGTTTCAGGAGCAAAGTACAGAAGGGTGTAGATTATTCCTGCCTCCTCCCCTTTTTTGGTAAAATAATTCAGAACATGTTTATCTTTTATTTGAGTATTTCCTTTCATAAGTTTAAGCCAAAACTTGCCTGGGGAGTTCAAATATATCCTTTGATACAGGGTAGATTATTATTGCTTATTTATTGTTAGGAATATTTGTCTATTAAATATTTGGATTGCATGAGCACAGCCAGCTACAGCTATGTTCTGCTTGCTTTCTTTGCCTGTTCCTGTATCTCTTCAGGCAGTGATACAGCATGCATAAGCAAATTCCTGTTACTCCAGTCTTAAAAATGAGAGATTCTGTAACAGACTTTGGTAATTCATCATATAATTTAAATTTCTTTAAATATCATTACATATGAAAATTTAAAAAAAAAAAAAGTAGACACAAACCAAACTCTTCTACTACCTGAATGTTAAAAATATTTGTATCAATGTCCTGTGTTCAGCTTTTAGTTTTCCATGAGCTGCAGAATTTGTTACTGAAAACGCACACTGTTCATGGACCTCTTGCCTGTTAATCAGAAGAGTAGCTCAGTTAAATTGGAAGGCAGGCAGTGGAGGAGAAACATCTGGGTCATTCTGACATATGGGAAAGCTTAGACAGCAGTGGGAGTATATGGAAGAAGACCAGAAGACAGATAATCAAACTTGCACAGGCCAGGAACAAGGCAAATAAAATACACAGCGTCAGTGAGTCACAAATCAGTTGTTTAGTTGCATTTTTCTTCCTTATCTCCCTCCCCACCATAATATGAACTGCAATATTCCCTGTTCCCAGACTCCAGTCCCAGCAGCCGTATCTCCTCTCTTCCACATCCCATACTGAGCGCACAGCTTAGCAGAAGCTGCGAGCAGCTGTCTCACAGAAAGGCAAGCTGATCCACACCATCTTGTTGATGGGGACGCAGCAGCCTCCTTTTTCAGCTGAGTTCAGAGGCCTTTTGTTGTTGTTTTGTTGCTGTTGTATTCTCATTACTTGTGCTTGTATTTGAAGATCTGTAATTTCTGGGGAGAAAAGGAATGCGTGCAGTCCAGCAGGTATAGAGAAGGGATGGTGATCGATAATTGCTGTGAATGCTGAACAGTGAAATATGTGTATCATTGTGGTTTGGTACATTTAAAACTTATACTGATTAATTATTTCGTTTAACTGACTTCAGCTATATCTTTATAAGACTATATAGGGCTTTGCATTAGTTTAACTATGGGATATGCACACCTGTTCCAAGTAGGTAGCAGTACATGGAAAACAGGTTATTCAAGGTTATACAAAGAAGAAATGGAATTATTTGAGCTGACAGTTTAAAGCCCAGGTAGAGGCTTACATGAATGTCATACCAATTTACAATGAATCTTGTTCTAGCTTAGAAGACAGTGGTAATATACATGTGTAGTATAAGTGAAATGTTAAGAGATAACTCAAACACAGAATATGAACAGGTGTGCAGTTCTATCTCAGCTGCCTTCTCACTGTTAAATTTTGGATGTAATGAAAATGTGGAATAATTCTGTGGGTTCTTACACAGAATGAATTAATTAAAATTAAGATTTTTTCTTAAAGAGGATTTGTTTTTTGTCAGAGCCCTTTCAAAGTACAAGGAGAGGTCACAGCTGTTGTTTTCATTCACATGTAGTCTGCTAAAACAAACAACATATGTATGGGGCATAAGAGTTTAGCACTCACAACATAGGGATTTATATATGACTTTGAAAACTATAAATAACAAATTATGCTTAACCTTTATCCTACTGCCCATCAACCTGGTTTGATAGTTGGAATTGAGGTTTTCATGAGTTATATTGTTCAGAAAAATAAAACTTCTCTCACCAAATGCAAGATAGCAAGGCCCATATTTACATTCTCAGTCTTAATTCCAATAAAGTCTTCTAGATTTGCATAATTACTACATTTGCATAATCACTTAAGACCTTGATCTGTACTCCAATGAAAGGAGACCCAAAACCTTGCTGAAAATCACACTTTTTATACAGGGAGCATACAGGACTGACCAGAGATACGGGCGTATTGCCTTTTCTTTAGAGCATGTTGGCATCTGCATACCTGAGTGAGTTTGGAAGGTTAGTGCACCCGCATGCTAACGCTCACAAGCAGTCTGTTGGTGGTCCTTGCTGCCATCATGTATCTGGAGTGGGTAGGGCCAGGGGGGAGTGGGTACAGATTATATCATGCTTAACTTCTGGTCCAAAGGACTTTTTGTTCCATTACAGTGTAGACATAGCTGTGGTGGTCTCATTTCCCCGCGGAGATAGAGCTTCCAAACATAGAAAATTAAAAAACCAACATTGCGTCCCTGTTTCTTCCAAGTCAGGCGGAAAGATTAGCTGAATATTTCACAAATACAAATCAATTCATCCCTCAATTTGTTTTTTCTTATTGGAGACAGTGAACTACAGAAATCCATCAATTTGCACACTGTCACAAGGACATCTGCTCAGTGAATTTCCCTTTGACTTCTTCAAACCACAGAACCCTTACCTCTCATTTTACTCTAAAAATAAGCAAGGAAATTATGCTTGCTAGATTGAAATATAGAAAGTAGACAGATATTTCACTGCAGAATAGGTGGTTGCTGTTCTGATACATGGTAGTACAAAGATTAATTTCCTGTAGGAAATGGGTAACTCACAGGATATAGGTTAGATCTTGATACCACACTTACTGTCAGCTGGTAGTTTTTGGATGGCCTCTTTACAGTTAAGTCAGTCCCTTAAGCCAGTTTCTAGCAGACAGATATCTAAAACAGAAAAGCCATCATGATTGTCAGCAATTTTCTCACATGGCTTCATGTTAATGGTGTGAGAATGTGGCATCACTCTCTGTGCCAGGAAGAAATTAAATTACAGCACTTGCATATTAACCTTTTTTGTGTTGTGCTTAGTCTGCAGGATAACGGGGTAGAAGATTTCAGCAGACACTCTTCAAAACAGACAGGAAGTCAGAAACATTTGAAGGTATCTTCTCAATAGAATTGTCCTGAATGGACATTTTCACAGCACAAGTCAACAAGACAAATGATTTCCATGCTCCAGGGATAGCTTTTTCCTTTTATATTTACCTGTCAGTCATTCTGTGTCACATAATACTTGGCAAAATCAAGTAAGACTCAGCAAAATTAATCTTTTTAATCTCCACTTGCCAAAAAAATCCTGGTTTCCAGATATCCTGAAAAATTTATCTGCAGAATTTAGGGACTTCCCTGCATTTGGATCCACTGAGCAATGGAGTGGTTTGGTATCTGTACTAAAGTTGTTCCCTCTCGTAGCCTACGTACTGGGTGGCTGTTAAGAATAGGAAGTGCTGTTTATCACTCAGTTTTGATCAATAGCAAGAAGACCTCTTCGAGGCAAATTTAATTGGCAAAGGAAATGAGATTTTCCTCCTACAGCCATGAAATACCTTGATTATATTTCAGGAATTGCTACATGACATTTTAATCTTCTGGCTTTACAGCAGTGGCTAATCCTGAATGGCTGAAAGAAGTTGAAATTGCAGCAATCTGTAGTCAGTAGCTTCTCCCACCTCACTGAACTGTGGTTCCTGAAGTGTCCAACCAAGGTAAATATGATAGTTCTCCCACTTCAGACTGGAACCTGTGTCTGGACTCATCAGCTCACAGGAGTCCCTGTCCCCCACAGAAATTTTATGCCCTTGATTTTTATCAGCTAGGATGACTTCCTGGAGACCATCACTTCAGTGACAAGACTGAGGGAGAAGTGCAAGCAGATTCCGCCTCCTCTAAATGGACACAGAGCACTTAATGGCATCCTTCAGTTTCCGCCAGTGATGGTTACGGAGCTCCATGTGAACTAAAAAATGCATCTTTCTGTACTCTTCCCTCATACCACATATTCCTGGAGAGTCATCTCTCCACACTTGGGATGTAACAGGTACTCTGTTAACTATGGAAAGTGAAGTATTTTAAAATATTCACTTGACTTTTCCTACCTATTTATATTCCAGACTAAAAGTATGTTTTAAGATTGTTATGGCAATTCCAGGTAAACCCTTGGATCATAATGTGTCAGAGCAGCATCTGTGCTGGCAGTTTCACCAAGAAAATTACTCATCTTTGACATCTACAGAGCATCAACCTGAAGCTTTGTCTTCCTAATTCAACAGATGTTACTTAGAGTATGTAAACAACTCTGGATGGGATACAATGTGTTGTTCCAGCTGCACCCTTCCAGGAATCTGAGTCTGCCATGGAACAAGTGATTGTTATTGACTACACTGTGGTGGAAATACAGATACATATTGCATACAGATAACTGCTAGGAGGAGAACAGAAAGTGAGTTACCTTTCAGTAACTGATGGATGTGTGCTAGATGTGTGCATATCCCACACAGCCCTTATTCTCTTTTTGTTATACTCCTGCACATACTGGATTCTCATACACATAAGGTGCACTGAGTGTGCTGTTGCCTGAATTAAAATCTCAAGGAGCCTCAGGAATTAGATGTGCTGTATAGGTATATCATGCCTCAAAGTTCCAGAAGCAAACGTGAAATTCCAGCAGATATGCACATGTACCTCTCATCAAACTCTTGGTGTTGTATCATCAGTCACTTTTCAGTCCATCAGAGGCATGAAAAGCTTTTCCACAGGTTCTTCGTGCAGTGAAAGCGGCAATATCTCATAGCATAGATATAAAGCAATTTTAAAACCTGCCCCCCCCCCCCCCCCCCAGCAACAGTTGGAGTACCTGAACAAAACACATTTGGAATAGTGTAAATTACTGCTTTTAAGATATTATTCTTAAAACTCAAATTTTTAAAACTTTCTAGTGAAAAGTGACATCAGTAAATAGCTGGGCTTAAAAGCTTTAATCTGCACAGGAAGTGTGCAATTCTATGGTTATTGTACAATACTTAAGAGCACAAGCAAAATTACCAGCAAACATCACAAGCAGACAGTTATGATAGTATGATAGTAAGCCTTCATCTCTAAAAGCAGAAATGTGGACCAATCTACATTGAATTAAAAACTGGCAGGAACACATCGGATTTGCTCTCAAAGAATTCTGTACATTTCCAGATTGCAGCCAAGCAAAAAGCAGGTAGACATCTGTCTGCAATCTGCCTAGTTGCAGGAAGCTTCTTCTTCCAATTCATCCCTTAGTGATAATTTCTGTGCAATTGGATTGTTGTCATACCTTACATATAGTGGCTTGAACTTTTCAAACAGTAATAACTGAACAAAACCAGGGACTAGGTAGTGCAAAGGATGATAGGAAAATAAGGATTCAGGAAATTATACAGAATAAGTAGAAAGGACTAGGAAAATGAGAGCAGAGCAGAAGGGGAGCAGAAGAATAAGCCCTGAGGAAGGAGTCAGTGCCAGTAAATGTAATACCCTACTCTCAAGGAAAAAAAAAAAGAGTAAAGCACAAATGGAAACAGGAGGGCATATTCATCCAAAGTCATTATAGGAAAGCAAGACGACTGTTCCTCTTTGATTCTTCACCATGTTTTAATTCTACTTCTGTATAGAGTTGTGCATTGTGACTGTGGAGGGAAAGGAATACCTAGAATTTAGATAGTCTCTTAAAAGCATATGCCATAGAAAGAGTTGTGAACAACAGACATAGGAAATAAATGATGATGGTCATTTCTGGAGAATTCATGGGCCTTCTGAAAGCCAGGGATCAAATTCAGACTCGATCCCCCACTACAGTAAAATAATCTACAACTGTTACCAGCAGGTTTGTTTTCTTGTGACTCAAACTCTGGTCTTACCTTTGCCCTTTTGTTTCAGTGGAAGACCAGCATGTACATCTGAACACAGAATTATTTTATTTTCTGTAATGATCAAACCCAAATGTTATTTTACCTTTGCCAGCTTTGTGTAGGGTGATGTGCCATCTTGCACATTTATTTTCCTGGAGTGATTCCCAGAAGTATGCTATGCTTTCTCTTGCTCATGTCTCACTAACTTTATTTATGAGTTGTGTACACCAGGTTCTCAGTCCCTGTGGACAGGCAGACACAGGAAGTATGTGGATTTAATACATACAAGTATGAGACTAGTAAAAAAGCAGCTACTGAGTAGCAGTCCAAATTAATCTAATTCTAATTTCAGAGTAGTTCAGGAGTAAGTTCACACCCATGGCTGAAACCACAAACATCTTTATCTGTTTTGTAATATAGCAGAAAGACACCTTCTCAAGTGGAAACAAAATAATTTAAAGAGCAAATTTTCACTGGGTTTACAGGATTAAAATTCCATTGTTGTTTGATGACTGAGTCTAATAGCAGTATTGTTACTGCTGTTGATTCTTGATGATTACCTAGAAATAATGTTTTAAAGATACCTTTTTTTTCCTCACTATTGGATGCATGAATTCCCTTCGGCTGTAAAATGAATCAAGACAAGGCTCTCTATCTCACATGCCATCACAACTGATGAGAGCTGATTGGTATCATGTTATCCCTTTGATTACACCTGTGCAATCCCATTAATTGAAAAATAACATGACCTGGAGAAGCTTAATGGCTAGTAATGGTGAATAGGAAAGCTGATATACAAAGCCTGATGTACATTTTAAACTGCAGTTGCATTGACAGATTGGCTGCTTAAAAAAAGACACCACAGTTTTTACAATCCCCTAGGACTCTGCAACTGCTGGACTGTTCCTCAAAGCAGAACTGATGGAGAAGTGTTCTGATGGGTCAAGCCAAGGAGAAAGGCATCCCTTCCACCTCTCTGATGCTCTGATTCATTTGACCACTCAGTTTGATATTTATGTATGTGTTCTTCATCTGGCAGGCATTTCGTCCCTAGCTCCCTTTATAACAGCTGCACTAGGTGTGATGAGTCTGTCATTCTATGTACATGTTAACATGTTGGTATTGTATTTTAAGGATTCTCTGAGGCTTGCCTCTGGGCCAGCTCTAGTGTCTGTGCAGACTGCAAGCACAGGATCTCACTTGTGAGGTTGCCTGCATATTTGTGCATGTATAGTGGTTTAATATGTTGGTAGCACACTGCTCAGCATGACTGACAGGTGATGTGGGGCTGTTATGTGCATAAGAAGCAGATGGAGTAGGGAGCACAGTGAGATGGAAACCATAACCAAGATTGTGCTCCAAAGTGCTGTGCAAAAGCAGTCTTTCTAGTGATGATGCACATTTCTGGGCTGGGCTGGGAACTCCTGCCTTGTGCGTACAGGCTGCCAAACAGAAGGGAAATGCAAGGGCTTCACATGTGGTGGAGGAATTAGCACTGCCTTTGGTTCCACTGCATGTCATTGACAGATGTCAGACCTACAGGTGATGTGCAGAACAGAACTTTGGGGTGACGTGCCATTTACCACCCTTTGCCCTCTTGTTTGTCCTGACACCTGAACTCCCAAAGCAGTTCCCTTTAAGGTGATTGACCCAGTGACCCTAGAAAGCTGATTATTCAAGTGGGATGATATGGAGTGAGATAGCCTGAGGACAGGCATTACCAGGGGCTGGCTTTGCAGCATCTCAACTACCACTTTTTAAAGCCTGAGATCTAGACTGGGGGAAACCCAGTCAGTAAGTAGCTTAAAGGAAGGGCACCATTCATGACCTCACCACCCCTTTGCTGAATTAAGCATCCCAAGTAAAACCAGTTACCAGTTACCTCACTTAGAGCCCAGCGCTTGCGTGCACTTTACATGTTCACTGACAGCAGTACCATACCCAGCTGAAACGGTTGCCTCCTCTACACTAACACCTCCAAGTACCAGCAGACCTAGCCCTTTTCTGTATAGCAGAGCTTTTAGGTATTTTAATCAGGTATCAGATGAGACCAACATACATATCCTTGTGCAGAGAGCTATTGCCAATAGTAGCTGGAGCATGTAGCTCTAGCAGAGGTTATTGGGGTCTTTCCCTCATCTCAGTGCCAGAACCTGAAGATGTCTCTCTAAAAGGCACTCCATGCATCACATGTGCTGAAGCTGACACCTGTGTCATCAATATAGCACTGGCCTTGGAGACGCAGCACCATAATTCATGCTGACTGACAGGGCAGGAATAAGTACATACAACCCATGCTTCATGCCTGAGGCAGGATGCCTTTTGCAGAGACACTGTAGCTTGTTATGTGGAGACAACTTGGGAGAGTGGGATAAAGAGAAGCTGTGCTGTTGAGGAGAAACAAGCCACTAACTGGGGGTGAGGAGAGCACATAGCAGATGCTGGTATCTTACTCTGGTCATTAGTCCTACAGGTATTGGCCAAAACTGCTGGGGATGTGCTTGAGTATGTCCTGCTGTTTGACCTCTCTCGCCAATGAAATGAGGTTTAGTCGGTTGTGATTCAGGTTGACTTAGATTGGCATTTTTTAAACAAAGCAAACTAGCACATGCCACTTGTGAGTTTATGCTCAGTTTCTGTCTGGTTAGGTTGTTTTTTTTTTTGTTCATTTGTAGTATTTTGATTTCTTTGATAAGAAAAAATTACTCAGAAGCATGACTAGACTTGCTCGCAAGTGGTTACATTTAGCTGTAATCTGCTTAGTGAATAGGAGGAGGAAAATTGCACTATTTTGACCTGGATCTAGTAGGAAGGATATTTTAATTTGGGGCAGCAGAGAGAAAATTGTATAACACTGTTGTGCTGTCCTGAGTAGGAGAAGAAGCCAGTGAATTACATGATTTTTTCCATCTTTGTAATCAGTTTGTTATGCAGAGAGCAGTGCCGTGGGATTCTGTATTTTATCTGCTGGGTTTCCCCTGGTAGCATCTGAAGAAGTTCATTATAAGTGTTTATCACATGATTCACTTAATCAAACCACTGAAACTCAGAGAATAAGTCATTCTAACAAGACCCTTCAGAGCCACCTTATAAGCTACTTACTCATGTACTCTTCCTTAGTGAGTGTACAATGGGTTTCCTTGTATCCTAGTCTATGATACAGGAAGTTCATTATCCCCAGTCCAAATTCAGATGTAAAGAAAGGAAGCAGGGCTTACAAAGAAGTGGCAGATAATTTGCAAAGGATTTCAGTTAGGCACTCAAATCCCAGATAGAGTCAGATTGTAAACTCTTCGTAAGAACAGCCTTTGGGATTTCAGCATTAGGCACAGAACACCTATCTACATAACTGGCTCTAATGTTGTAAAATACAGACAGTACATGAGAAATTATTTGCTTCTTTTGATTAGAGGTTAGTTAATGGAAGCATGTGATAAAAAAAAATCAGAACTAAACTATGCTTTTAGCTGGGCAATAGCGAATATAATGCGTAACAGCAGCAGAGCCACTATCTGGGCTGATGCAAAACGCCTTGAAAGCCTGCTAAATCCCAGTGCGTGCTAGGGTTTGAGATATTGAGACTTGTCTGACAAGCTAGGAGCTCACAGACATGCTGTGTGCAACCTGTGTTTGTACATTTTGCATCTGGTATGATAAAATGTGTTTTCCTGTGATGTACCTAGGAAATGTTCTAGATGTAGGGAGCAGGTAGGTTGAGAACTGCTCTGCCTCCTTAAAGGCGTTCATATCACTGAGCTCTGTGACAAAAAATGGGACACCAGATTTTATGGCACTTACTGGATTTTCTCACTGATGCTGTTTCACAGACAGTATCTTGTAAATGCTTGCCTTCTTGCTATCTGATGAAGACCAGTTTGGGTACCACCACAGATGTAGGCTTGGACCAACTTTAATGTGGAAATGCCCTGAATAATTTTCCTAAGCACCACCCTGTCTCTTTAGAATCATAGAATGGTTATCCTTACGATAGTGCTGCTTGACTACACCTCTTCTTTCACCTTCCAAGCTCATGTGAAGGCAGCACCGGGTCACACCAGACCAAATGTGGATTTTATGTAGGGACTCAAAGGCTGAGCCTGATGTGGGTCTCCAGCTGAAACTTTTATTGTACTGGAAACTGCCACTGCTACGAGGAGCATTGGGCAAGTCAAGACAAGTTACCTGTAAGTCATCAAAAATAGGGAAGTTTTTGATGTGCAGGACTGAGAAATATGGGCAACAGAAACAAAAAAAACCAAGATGGTTTGATGGGGATGATGCTTTTTTCCTAGCGTAGCTCCAGTGAAACAGGTCACAAAATTCATGGCATCGTCCTGCACCATTTTGAGGGAATGGTGAAACCAATGTTTCTCTCCAGTGCTGAAATCCATCCAGCCGAGAGCTTTAAAATTCATAGAATCATAGAATAGTTAGGGTTGGAAAGGACCTTAAGATCATCTAATTCCAACCCCCCTGCCATGGCCAGGGACACCTCGCACTAGACCATGTCACCCAAGACTCTGTGCAGCCTGGCCTTGAAAACTGCCAGGGATGGAGCATTCACAACTTCCTTGGGCAACCCATTCCAGTGCCTCACCACCCTAACAGTAAAGAACTTCTTCCTAATATCTAACCTGAACTTCCCCTGTTTAAGTCTGAACCCATTACCCATTGTCCTATCACAGTCCCTAAAGGAGAGTCCCTCCCCAGCATCCCTATAGCTCCCTTCAGATACTGGAAGGCTGCTATGAGGTCTCCATGCAGCCTTTTCTTCTCCAGACTGAACAGCCCCAACTTCCTCAGCCTGTCTTCATACGGGAGGTGCTCCAGTCCCCTGATCATCCTCGTGGCCCTCCTCTGGACTTGTTCCAACAGTTCCATGTCCTTTTTATGTTGAGGACACCAGAACTGCACACAATACTGCAAGTGAGGTCTCACAAGAGCAGAGTAAAGGGGCAGGATCACTTCCTTCAACCTGCTGGTCACGCTCCTTTTGATGCAGCCCAGGATATGGTTGGCTTTCTGGGCTGTGAGTGCACACTGAAGCCAGCTCATGTTCAGTTTCTCATCGACCAACACCCCCAAGTCCTTCTCTGCAGGGCTGCTCTGAATCTCTTCTCTGCCCAACCTGTAGCTGTGCATGGGATTGCTCTGACCCAGGTGTAGGACCTTGAGCTTGTCATGGTTAAACTTCATGAGGTTGGCATCAGCCCACCTCACAAGTGTGTCAAGGTCCCTCTGGATGGCATTCCTTCCCTCCAGGGTATCAACCGAACCACACAGCTTGGTGTCATTGGCAAACTTGCTGAGGGTGCACTCAATCCCACTGTCCATGTCAGCCACAAAGATGTTAAACATGACAGGTCCCAACACCAATCCCTGAGGGACACCACTCTTTACTGGTCTCCAGCCAGACACTGAGCCATTGACCACAACTCTTTGTGTGCGGCCATCCAGCCAGTTCTTTATCCACCGAGTGGTCCATCCATCAAATTGATGTCTCTCCAATTTAGAGACAAGGATGTCGTGTGGGACAGTGTCGAACACTTTACACAAGTCCAGGTAGATGACATCAACTGCTCTACCCCTGTCCATCAGTTCTGTAGCCCCATCAGAGAAGGCCACCAAATTGGTCAGGCAGGATTTCCCCTTAGTGAAGCCATGCTGGCTGTCACCAAGCACCTTGTTGATTTTCACGTGCCTTAGCATGCCTTCCAGGAGAATCTGCTCCAAGATTTTGCCAGGCACAGAGGTGAGACTGACTGATCTGAGGTTCCCTAGTTCTTCCATTTTCCCCTTCTTGAAAATGGGGGTTATATCTCCCTTTTTCCAGTCATCAGGAACTTCACCTGACTGCCATGATTTTTCAAGTATGATGGACAGTGGCTTAGCAACTTCATTTACCAGCTCCTTCAGGACCTGCGGATGGATTTCATCAGGTCACATGGACTTTTGCACATTCAGGTGGTTAAGATGAAACCTGGCCCTCTCCTACAATGGGCCTGAGATCCTCATTCTCACAGTCCCTGCATCTGGGTCAGTGGGACTTTGTAGACCTGGAAGCCTCCCAGCAACATCCCTGATCCAATCCCCTGGTAGGCAACATACCTCCCTCAAGACTGAGTCAGGCTGACAGATGGGTGCTTTTGTGCCCTTCAGAGCAGTCCCCTACTGCATTTTCCTGGAGGCACCAGCATTGCCCCTCTTTACTGGTGCATCAGTGGTTGTTCATTCAGTGTGGTGGGAGTTTCCTCGTTAGCCACCTGCAGAACTGCAAAGTGGTTCTGGGTGGGGACGTTAGATTTTGGAGGAAGCCCCCTTTTTTTTTATTATTACTAGTTTCTAGCTTCCTGGATTACCATCCTCCTCCTGTATGCACTACGATGGACCCTTATTACTCCCTCAGTGGCTGTCACTGCTCAGAACTGAGGTTCTTGCATGCGGGATTTCCCCTTGCTCCAGTGTTGGAGGCTCCTCTCTGGAGCTTCTCACCTCGGTACCTCTGTGCCTGGCAAAAACTTGGAGCAGATTCTCCTGGAAGGCATGCTAAGGCACATGAAAAACAACAAGGTGCTTGGTGACAGCCAGCATGGCTTCACTAAGGGGAAATCCTGCCTGACCAACTTGGTGGCTTTCTATGATGGGGATATAGAATATAGTCCTGCATAACAAGCTCTGACGTAGGTCTTAGGGGCTATCTGCAGTGCGGGTCCCACAGGAGGCCAGTCCCCCTGATAGACCACTCAAGAAATAAGCCTATGGGAGAGAGATCTGCGGTCATTCTGCATTTCAAGGATTTGAGCAAATGTGCTGGGGAGATCTGTTGCCTATCTCTAAATCTCTGCCCTCTATACAGTACCCTGACGTGATACTTACCTGAGGTTTCCAAACTGTTCTACACAACTGATTCAGTTACTTATTTTTCCTGAGTGTTGCAGGGAAGAGCTGCTCAGTCCATGCAGTTTAAACTGAATCGGGATCAAAACACTTTATTGAGCTACCAGGAGCATGGAATTAGGCAGCAGTCAGTGAAGTGTTGCATTCAAGTAGTAATACAAGAGGTAAACCCCCAAACTAGACACATGAATGTTGAGAAACACAAGCAAATATCTAAACACCCTGTGTAACAAATGCAGAAGAGATTTCTTCAATTATTATTCTTTCCAAGAAGACCTCACCATAAGCAACGCAGTAGCAAATGCCATTTCATGTATTGGTAAGGAACGGTGAGGAAATCCTGTATGCTCTCCACATTTCTGCAAAGTTCATGCAGAGGGAACCAAAACCGCTTTCACCTCTGCGATCACCACAGTCAAATGACTGTACATGGTATAAAAGCCTTTATTGGTACAGTATGATACAGTCTGAACACCCAGATTGATTTACAGGGACACCCCGCAGCAGTGCCCAGTGTGTGGCCACCATGGGCAGGGAGATCCCCCTAGGCCTCCTGGGCACAGGCACTGCCTCAGGGCCAGCACCCCAAAAGCCTTTCTCCAAGGCATGCTGGGTGAAGGGGCAGCAGCAGCAGGGCTTTGGTGGGCAGGGCTGTGGAGGCCCCATCACCCCCGTGTCATAATGCCACCACCTGCCAACACAGCATCACAATGCTCTGGGGCAGTATAAGGCAGTGCCCTCCCGTGTCCCACTGCCAGAGTGCCTGGCTTTGCCACCAGAACAGAGCTGGCAGCCTGCAGGCACCTGAGAGGAATTCTTTGAGGCACCAGTGGAATTACTTGGAGGGGCAGAGAAGGGAAGACTGCCCGAAGCTGCTGGGGGTTCTCTGCTGCAATTCCAGCTCCTGGAGACGCCACACTCACAGCTTATTGGATGGATGGAAATCCTGCTTCAGTCTTCAGGGAGATGGCCGTTCTCATGTTTTGGGGAGATAGTGGGAGTAGCCATAAGAAACAGGATCCACTTATGGCCCGGTGCCCTCCCCCCATGCTTTGGAGCTCCCACTGACAGGCACAGGGAGGGTTCTTGTCCCTAGGGTTGATCAGGCCAGCAGTGTTTTGCTGTTGTTGGAAGCCCCTGAGATGGCTCCAGGTGGAGGCAGAAAAGGCAGTGCCAGTGTCCCCTTGTCCCCTCAGAGGCATAACCAGCCCGTGGACCAGGAGCAGGTCTTGCTCACATGCTCAGGGAGTAGCCGATCGCCAGCTCTGGGGTCAGGAAGGAATTTTCCCCTGGGGCAGATTGGCACTGGTCCCCGGGGGTTTTTTGCCTTCCTCTGAGTACTGAGCGTGACCACTTGTCAAGGCCCCTCTGGTCCTGGTGCTCTGTGTTATCGCCTGGTGCTCATGCTCCACGATGGTGGCCCTCGTGTCCTGCAGCTGGGGGTGGGGGGAAGGGCTTTTTTCTCCCCAGGGTGGACCAGCAAGTGTCCCCGGGGTTTTTTGCCTCCTCTGCAGCCGAGCACAGCCCCTTCATGGGGGCTCCTTTGGGCTATTGTAGCCCAAAGGCAGTGGCTTGTGCTCCACGCAGCTGGCCCTCATGCCCCACATCGGGGGGAAGGCAGCCTTCTGCACTCCCAGGGTGGCCCCCAGCATTGTCCCGGGACTCATTACTGTCCTCTGTAGCATTGAGCACCACCCTTTGTCAGGTCTTCCCTGGCCCTTTCTGGCTGGGTTCTTGCACTGCTTTCGCACCACCACGGCACCACTCTGAAAGATTTAGAAAAAGAAAATATAACCTAAACTAAACTAGACTAAAATGAACTAAAGTAAAATAACTTTATTTATAAACAAATATATATATATTTATAAATATAAATAAACACTCTTTCCACCTGTAACGTTACTGATTTGTGTCTTTCAAAGTGGTTTTGGTGCTGAAAACCCCTTGGCATTTCAGGTAAATAATGGTCTCATCATTATACAACTCATTGTGAGCGCAGGTAAGGGAATGGAACAGATTGAAATGCAGTGGGACAGAACAGCTATGATATGCATATAGT